GCGGCGACAGTGAGGCAAGGCGGGGTGGGCCGAGGGCCGGGCAGGGCACAGCAGGTCACGTAAGGCACCCCACGTGCGTGTTGGGTAGCGTGTCCACTGCCTGGTGCCAGAGCTGGAAGGTCAGTGGGTTGATCTGAGCTGTACTTCCAAGACAGGGCTGGCCCCAGGCTGCGGCCCCAGGGCTGGGCAGAGTGGGCTGGCAGCAGGAGCGCTGGCACAGTGCGAGGTGCAGGCTGTGGGGGGGCTCCTAGGTCTGGGTCGCAGGACTGGCCGCAGGTCACAAGGACACCATGGACACTCTAGCCAGCCACAGGGAGATGGACCCCTCCCGGCACCCACCAGACCCCTCCACAGCACCAGCCCCTGCCCAAGCCAGCCCCCCTCAAACACCACACTGTCGAGCGCAGGTGCAGGGCCACCAGGGCTGTGCTGACTGCCCAGTGCAGCAGGAAGCCCTGGTCTGTGTCTGGTCAGAGACAAGGGAGTGGGGACCTTGGCATGGGAGCTCCTGGTGGAACAAAGAGTGTGCCAGGGCTGACATCTCCAGGGCAGTCCTCAGGGATGCCTGACCCTGCAGGGTCCATCTGGCAGGACTGACGGCAGCCCACAAGGGCCACGGCCACAGACAGCTCCAAGTCGGCTCCAGCCGGCCTGTGGCCCATAGCAAGAAGACCGCTCCTGCTTCTGCTCAGGGACTAGCCAGGTCATGGTATGGGCTCCAACTCTGCCAAGCTGTGGTCACTACTCCTTAACACTCCCCTGGCAGGGCTGCTTGCTGATCCTCACCTCGAAGGGGCCCCAAATGTGCACTTGCGATGGCCTTCTGCTCCTAAGTCTGGGTCGCAGGACTGGCCGCAGGTCACAAGGACACCATGGACACTCTAGCCAGTCACAGGGAGACGGACCCCTCCCGGCACCCACCAGGCCCCTCCATAGCACCTTGCTGCTGTTACACTGGTGCTTAGCAGGCAGCTGTGCCTGGACCCCAGCCCATCTTTCCGGTCACCTGCACCCGCTGGACAGGGTGTCCTGATGCAGATGTCCCTGTACTTGCAGCAGTCAGGCCTGGGGACGGGAAGGTCAGCAGGGGCTGGAGTGAGTTCTGGCCAGGGCAGGTGGGAGCAGAACGTCACCTGCCCTGTCCACACCCATGTCCCAGCTCAAACAAGCACCTCGCTCAGGCCTCCCTGCCCAGAGGGTCCGAGATGGCAGCCAATCACACTAAGGTGCAAGGCGGGGGGTCCAGGAGTCCGTTTCCAGCTGATGACGGGTTTGTCCTGTGTGGGAGCCTTACCTCGAGTGCAGCTTGGTTTCAGAGAGCCCTGGTGGGCACTGGTGCTTGCAGGCCACGGCCTGGTCGAAGGCCAGCCTCTGTGCACACTGAGCTGTGGTTCTCGAAGGCCTGGGGGGCAGCAGGGGCCCAGGCAGGCATGGCAGGACAGCTGGGTGCCAGGGGGCTGGTTACGGGGGCATGCCCAGTCCCTCGAGGGCTGCTTGACCTCCTGCATGGCCACCCCATGGCACTGTGTGCACCCTGGTGGTGACCAGACCTGCAGCTGGCTGCGTGGGCCCAAGGAGGGGCCACGGGCACTGCCCCCAGCGGTCTGAGGGTGCAGTTGAGCGGCTAGAAAGAGCCCCAACTCCACACAGATGGCCTCGCTGCCCCGCCCAGACCCCCACAGGGGCCGCCCCTGCACCGTGACCTTCCGCCATGGGCAATGGAGGTTGTGCCCGTTCTCAAAGGTCCAGACCAGCGCCTTGTTGGGGCTGCAGGTGCATGTGCCCGGTTTCAGTACCTGGCGCCCAAGCCCTGGGCTGTGGTGGGAACAGACGTCAGAGCAGATGGTCATAGGAAGCCGGGCGGCAGCCCACTCGGTGCCAGACCTTGTTCTTGGTGGTGCGCTTGGAATGAGCCAGAGGGACGTCACCTAGAAAGCTGTGCCCGTGTCACAGCATGTGGTGCCCTTGCCGAGGTGCTGGGTGCCGCGGAGCAGCCCAGACACAGGCCCATCTAGGTGCACAGCTCTTGGTGTGCAGGGAGCAGACCCTTGGAGCGCCATCTTCGATGCTGGCCTGGCTCTGGGGCACGTGCAGGGTCCTGGGCTCAGCTGGCTCCGAGACCTGTGGACTCGCAGTGAGCAGTCTGAGACGGGGTGGGCAGGTCGGGCTGCAGAAGGGGGGACCCATCCTCACGGAAGGGCCCAGGTGCTTCCCAGGCAAGGCTGGGAGAGTCTGGGCTGACCCAACACTCACGGATAAGATTGCTGGGCAGCGCCACTGACCCGACCCTGCCAAGACACCTCCCTCAGAAGGGTCCCCAGGCCCTGCTCGGGGGAGGGAAGTCGCCTGGCAAGGACACCCAGGAGCCAGCAGGGCCCCTCCCGGCAGCTCCTTGGGGCCTTGAGAGCTCCCAGGCGTGCCCAGCTGCCCGCCCAGGGGTCCTCCAGCCCCAGCACCTCCTTTCCTGATGGACAGCTCTGGGAAACCCACACCTGGACTTGGGCAGTGAAGGGGCCCCAGGAGGGGGCAGGCTACCCCCAGGAAGATGTGGGGTCCTGTCGGTAGTTGGCCTCTACTGCAGCTGGGGGAGGGTGAGGCCAATGCAACTCTGCTCTCTGCTGCTGGGCCTCGGGGCCTCCTGAAGTGCCTCCGTGGGACCCTTGTAGGCACCTGCCACAAGGGGGCAGAGAAGCGCCTGTGGGAGCCTGGAAGTCCGCTGGACACCCACCCACGAGCACCGCCGGGCGTGCGT